GTCTTCAAGTGTCTTAAATCGTTTTTTTTTTTCACTAATAGTTCCTTCCTGTGCTCCTTAGTTCTTTTAACAGTCTTCCCTCACTGTTGAATAGTAAAATCTAACCACATTTGTTTACTGAAAATACATTGAGCAAGGAAATTGAACAGGGCCCATTTACATAACTGCACTTATCCCCTACATATGTTCTTGCTAGCTATCAATTACTATGATGGCTTCAGTTCTAGAGGTCAAGCAACTTTACAAAATTCATGTGCTAGACAGGGGAAAACATTTATATAAGCAAATAAAAACTATTACTTTTATCATAAAACATTATCTGAACTATCCTTCTATGTTAATGAGCATGTCTTGCCTGTCCATTGGAAGCTGGGCACTTGCAAAATCTGGAGCTGCGAGGGAGGAGGACTCAATCATGTAGAATGGGAACTGAAGCACGTATTATACGTATTGTATGCATACCAGGTGTTCAATGAAATGGCTAAAAGCATCAACTCTCGTTTCTTTTACTCATTGGCAACTTTTGTAGGGCTGGGAATTTTCTGATATGGTATCAGATGATCATGGCTTCTATGGTGCTTACGATGTGGATGGTAGTTAATTCAATCTAGCTCCATATACTGTTTTTGTGATTCTGAAAATGTAAGGCTATTAGATTTAAAAAAAATTACATTCATGTGGGAAAGTTATGCTATACTCCTATAGCCGGTCTAAATTTTTTTACAAGATCCAACCTTCTGTACCAGGCTACCAGCTCACACATGCAATTATTATTATTATTATTATTATTATTATTATTATTATTATTATTATTATTATTATTATTATTATTATTATTATTATTATTATTATTATTATTTAGCATAATTATATTATGTAAGCACTGATCTTACAACAAAATCTGGTTATTTGTGTTCTATGCGCACCGCATATGATTAATTCACATGCACATCTCAAGAAGATCTGAACAGATTAAGAAAGTATATTATCAATCATATTTACCTATGACGCTAAGAACAAGGTCGAGTTACATACATGTTCTCAACTCTAAAATGTAAATCATCTTTAGTAATCCACCCATTTATGAATATGAGTGTTCTATCAAGTTCTATTCTACTAGAAGAAATTTTTTTCTTTTGTAGGTCTCACCTATTCCAAAAGTTAGATATACTAAATTAAATGTTTCTTCATTGTATCTTTACAGCACTCCCATTCTCATCATCATCATCATCATGTATTCTTTGTTTTCATGCAGGCTCTTGAAATCAAACTCTGTCTGCAGATATTTGGGAGTGCAAGGATGTTACATTTCATAGAGAAATGCCATGCAATTTTTCCCTTGGACATAGTGCTCTTTCAGCTTAGTAGACTGGACCTTTTCACTTTTTAGCACCATATAAAATACCATTCCCATGTTGGGCTATGCTGACAAATCAAGGACAACATAACTATTGTAGAGTTGACATACAACTACAGAGTTGCACGATTTAGTGAGAGCAATGCATATGAATCCATACTAAGAAATCTGAATTTGAATCACTAATTTGATGATCAGGACTTCTCAGTAATGTTCTAATGTAAGATGTTGTATTCTTCTCCGGTAACAATAATTTAGTTCGACTTCAAAATCATCATCATCATATATCTAATCTCGTAGCTCAAGCGCTAAACCTTTTTTTGCAAAAAAAAATGCTATGCTGGTGAACTCCAAGGAGGGCGCGGCAAAGCCACGCTGAGTTTTCTAGTTCAGTTCTAAAACTGCATGCACACACTAATAAAGTTCATTCAGGAATCTTAATTGCAATACAGATCTTAAACAAATCGATATCAAGATTTTTTCCCCATGAAAAATATCTGCCAAGATCGTGATTGCTTTCCAACCTGCCCGCACAACACGCGGGGGTACATGCTAGTTATACGTAACTTTTGCTGCGCACTTAGATATATATTATGTTTAGATACATGATAAATCTTGATAAGTCAAAACATCTTATAATTTGAAACAGATATAGTATAGACTGATACTAACTTAACAATATCGGTGCATTTTTTAATTAAATTTGATCAAACTTATAACCATTTTAATTTAACTAAACCTACAAAAACTTTTTACGAAAGAAGTAAGTTCGTAAGCTCGAGAGACAAAACAACAAGCCTGTTGTTAAACCCACAGTACACGTGATGATGTCGCTACAATTTGGATCTAGTTATCTTTTCTGCTCTATGCTGTCTGTTTCTGCACGCACATGAACAAAGTCCGTTTTGACGATAATTGAAGCACTGACCAGCAGAGCATTTTCCCTAGTCACTTCCCACCTCCTGACTCCTCTATTTTTTTACGTCAATTCGGGTCTCATGGCCTTATATTAAAGGACGTAAACTCAGCCAAATCCCGAGTTATCACATCAATTACAAATTCAGGGAGGGGGTCAAACTATATGAATGATTGACCCGGGTCCCAACTCAACGCAACCTTCAGAATCTCATGCGCAGACGAGTTACCCGACCGTGGAATATTAACAATTTTCGAACATACAAACTGATCATGCAATAGCTCTCTAATACTTCTCAAGAGGACGCCACTTAGCGCCAAGTCCCTACACTCCCCGTTCGCTTGGAGGAATCTGGATAAATTTGTGAGAGGAAAACACTGTTTGATGATAAAAAAAAAAGCGGATCAAGCTGGATTTAAGAGTACGCGAACGGGGCCTCAGAGGTGATTGCCTCTCGGAGCTGACTGGAACCAGTCTCCAACTGAATTCTGGATATGCCGTGCATTTCAGCAGCTTCCAAAGCAAAGAGGCAGGCCACCGTTTCAGCTGATAAAGCATCCATCACTGGACTAATATTTGCTGCCCCTGCCAAGACTGCATTCCCATGACTAGTGCTACGAAATATTAATATTAATTTTCATTATTTACCTTTAAAAACATTTTTTTAAAAACATGAAACATGATAGAAATGCAAACTAGCTGGGCTACTCAACGTGAGAGCTCACAGACCAGCGCTATTGGGCCAAACTTGTGCAACTGGCCCACACGAAGGATGCTAGCAGCAAGCTGGCGCTATTGCATCCTGCTGCTGTGTGCACTCCGCGACATAAGGAATCAAGTTTGTTCCACCTCGCTAGCAGAGCCCAGGTATAAAATAGGATGCGGGCTGTCCAAACTCAAGGGGTGTGCGGGCTGTCCAACCTCAAGGGCACATAGCATTAGAGCGTGTTTATTTTCAGGAAGTTGAAATTTAGGTTAATGTAGCATTTTTGTTTTTATTTAGCAATTAGTGTTTAATTATAGATTAATTAGGCTAAAAAATGTTCGTCTCGTAATTTTCTACCAAACTATATAATTAGTTTTTTTTTTCTATATTTAATGCTCTATGCACGAGCCACAAATATTCGATATAATAGGTACTGTAAGACTTTTTGAGAATTTTGGGTGAAACTGAACACACGCTTACTCAGGTAATAGTTGAATCATTGAATCATAATGATTGATATGGGATTTTCCTGTCTGTCTTGTTTTCATCCCTAAAAATCGCGGGTATGGGTGACGTCGCGGGTATGGGTGACACGGCGCACGCTTCCCCGTTGTTCTTTCCCTTTGCCCAAAATTGCCCTCGTTGCTCGCCATCGCCGCCGCCCCAAACCCACAGCGCCGCCTTTCCGTCCGTGCTCAACAGCTCTCTCTTCTCTCCTCCGACGATTCGTGCTCGTCCAACTCTGGTGGGTAGTGGAGTAGTGGTAGACGGCCGGCGACGAGGTGGGTCCTCCTGCTGCTGCTCCTGAGTCTTGATCCTCTCCTCATTCCTTTCTCGGATTGAGACATGGTGGTGGCTGGGTTAGGGTTTTCGGTTCGGTGTCGTCGGAGAGAGCTCCATGGCCGGTGGGCTTATAGGAGTGTCTGGCGGCCGCAGTAGGCTCGGCGGCGGTGGCGGGTAGAGCGTGCTCCGCCACAGATTCGCTATGATCTGCTTCTGTTGTTAGGGCATGGGATTTCGATGTTGAATGTCTAAGATTATTGTGTGATCCCAAGACGATTGTTTAGGCCATGATTCCAGTACGCACGTGTAGTAAGCAATTTATAAGCCACTTTGTTGATTTGTTTAAGTGTGGTTCGTGCACCCATATACATCTGGAGAACTGCAGCAGCTTATGATGTCTTCGGGATCAATTCAGTGCCATTGTTTATCTATTCCCAATTGTTATTAGAAAAATATAGGCGCCGTGAACATAATCTTATTGCCTCATGTTTTGTCTACCATTGCTTCACTGTACATTTCCTCTCTGCTTTTGTTATTTGTAACTTCTATGTAACATGACAGGATAAAAGTTGTTCCATGAATGAATTAGGAAAAATGTCTCATAAGGGGATTTTTTTTTGGGATCTCACTTGGGGTGCGTGACAAGGTCACAGGATGACTCCTAGTTAGCCTATACGATCTATAACACCCCTCGGCCCTTCATTTTGCCTACTTAGATAGCAAAAGGTGTCAAAACAAGGGGCAACGGTGTGTTTACATTGTCAAAACGGGTCAATGATGCCGCTTCTCCTGTCCTCCAGCACTATTGGGGGTAACTCTAGCTTACGCCAGCACCTGATTTAAATTACCGAGCATTTGTTTGTCCTTTAGATCCTCTGCTGCATTTTATTATTAGCTTGCACTTTTGTTCTTTGTTCTTTATCATGTGTCATCTCATCTTTTGCATTGTTTGTTCACATTACCTTCGATGTTCATTTGTCGTTCGCTACATTTAGGCTCCTGCTGTGAAATTACCTGTATTTTCAGGTATCGAAAGTTGATTTAGGATGCTGTAAATTGTCTTATGGTCACTATACGCTTGGAGGACAATATTGATGACAACATGCGTATATTTTGCTTTGTTTTTCAGGGTTAGGAAAATGTTGATAACAGAGCATCTGACAACCAAGCGCAAGTGAACACGTGAGCGCAAAGCACACTTGATTGTAAACCAAGATGCTAGTAAAGAAGGAGCCCCGATGCCCGGTGAGTCACTGATTCCAAGTTGTCATGCCAGGTCTTCCTCCTTTTTTGCCAATCGCAAGTATTTACAGTTTACTGTTATAACACTCACAATTGGTTTATTGTACCATGCTTCTTTAATTATCTAGGATCCATCTGTTCGGATACTGTATCTGAAGCTGGATATGATAACATGAGCAAATCTGGTGATAGTTTGTTATGTGAATTCAATCATCGATTTGCTTCAGTACTTCATCAATGTGTTGTCTCTGTTGCCTCATTCATTGGTAATTATATGTTATATGGCCTTTATTCTCCACATCTTTATATAATTTGGCCGGACCTGATGGTTGAAAGTATGATCATCTGCAGAAGGTACCATGATATTTGGATGTACAGGCATATTCATCCCACCAGGATCAGATGCTGATCCTACAAGTGTTCTGACTTCAGCTAGCTTGGTTAGGTCTTCTGACGATGAAAACAAGATCATTGATAACTTGACGGTTGGTGTAGCTAACTTCTCTGTACTTATTTTCCTTGCTGATTTACTGTAGTAAGAGTAATTATCTTGTATGCCTCTTGTTACTTAATCGATCGTTGCAGATTAAAGTGCGCCTTCCAGATGATCTAGTTGTCATTGGGTGGTTGCACCATTATGATTTGAAGTATGATATTGCTGTTGTCAACATTGAGCGTCTTCATGGTTTTTGCGCACTGAAAATCAGTTACAGACTTCAGCTGCAATATGAGTCCACTAATGTAGTAGCCGTGCGGCGGTGTTTCGACTCAGGCGTGTTAACAACCACACGAGGAATTGATATTGGCAGACTAAGCGATGAACTCTGTGAACTTGATATGGTGAGCTGTGGTTCTCTTACTTTTCTACATGGTGGAAATTACTAATCTGCATTACTTGGCCTAACCATGCATACACTGAACTATACTGTCACTTGTGTAAATTTCATTTGTCCTCTGTAATTTTCTTCATTGTCACTTCTTTCATGCCAGGCTTCGATTGGAGATCCCATTTTTTGTTTTAATGGGAGCTTTGCTGGAATGAACTGTCGTGAAGGCGAAAGGGCTGTATTCCTACCACGGGACAAAATTATTGAATGCTTGGAGCATTTTGGATTCAGGTTGGTCTTTCTGGAGTTCCAGTATTAGTTTCTGTGACTGGCTTTCCCATGCTTGTCTGTCCGCTATTTTATACTGCATCCCATTCTTATTTAAGCTGGAGCATTTTGGATTTAGGTTGGTGTTTCTGGACTAATAATGTTTCTGTGATTGGCTTTCGCATGCTTGTCTGTCCACTGTTATATCCTGCATCTCACTCTTATTTGAGCTTTTAAAGCAGTCCATTTCAAAGCCCTTTTTTTATAATAAATATTTTTTAGTTCATCCTATTGGGCCACTAGCTATGTGGTACCGATCTGTATCTTAATGATATTTCTTACTGGTTCTGCATCTATGGTCTTTTCGCAGTGGCACAATTAAATATTGGTAGTTACTTGGACAATTGTGCCCTGCCGTGTTGGCATGCATTCTAGACTAGAGTATGATTCTTGTTTCAATGCTGAAGCTAATACATCTTCTTAAGTGAAAGCATGGCCAATTTGTTATCCCAAATTATAATACAAACCATGTAACATACGTCTGTGACATCCTTGGGTTAGGTGTGATTTTTTGTATCCATTATCTTTAGTTGTGAACTATCTGTAACCTGGTGGCTCTGTTTCCAACCTTGCCCCTGTCTGGTGGTCCAGTTTGTGTTTGGGTGTTATTATTCTTTCTGTGATTTTTCATGACATGTTTTGTCCTCTCTGTGCAGGACTGACATTAATCAAGGGGGCTGTGGTACAAAAAAATTAGTCACAAGGGAGATAGAAAGACATACCACACTGGGCATTGCAAGATACGATTATCCCATACCAGATAAAATCAGTAGACGTGGTGTGTAATTGCTCCTAGTTTTCCTCCGTACCCCTTATGTGAACGGTTTGGCAGCTATATTCAAGCACCTTTGTATCATGTTTCTTTAAACAGGTGATTTTTTTGCTATGTGTGTGTACAATTCGTTTGAAGATAAATTTGAGGGTGATATCTGGAGTACACTCAATAAAGAACTTGGTTCAACTTTGTCTGAATGCGTCGTCGCGCTCGCATCATTTAATGGTGATTATAGTCTGATACACTCAATTGCACATTACTGTTTTATATTTTTATATATCAGATCGATAATTAATGACCAAATTATGATCTGTGCAGAAGGTGCAAGGCATTTTGCTTGCACAGGCGTATTTATAGATTGTTACCCTGCAAGAATTCTCACTTCAGCAAGTCTTGTTAGAAGTTCTGATGATAAAAGCAAGATTTATGATAACTTGCGGGTTAGTACTGGTATGTTTGATCATTATTTGCTCTATGCCCATTTATAATACTAGTTTACTCTAATTTTGTGATTGCAGATTGAAGTGTGCCTTCAAAATAGAAGCCGTGTCCTAGCAACGTTGAAACATTATGACTTACGTTATAATGTTGCTGTTGTCGACATCATCTGTTTCCGCAGTCCTCGTGCCATAGAACTTGAGAAAGATATTCCTTTTGCCCCTAATACTGATGTAGTGGCTGTAGGGTTTTGCTTCAAAGGTTGCAAGTTAATGGCTACAAAGGGGGTGTTGGTTGACAAACCAAGCAAACTGGATTGCAAAGATCTTGGGACACCACATGCAAGATATAAATCGTTCCAGACCCCCGGGTATACACCTGCTTTTAGTCATGTATTGATTTCTTTTTTAAAAATTTAGGTTCTAGGTGAAACTGAAAATTTCAATGATCTATATGAAGAAACCCGCCGTTCAGTGGTGGGTCTAATGATAGATGAAGTATAAGTTAGTGCTGGATGCATCATCCACATAAGCCCAGATGTCACTCTTGTTGGTGTGCCATCTTTATGCGCAAAAGACCGGGGGACCAACAGTATCACTGTTTCGTTCTTTGATGAAACCAAAGCGGACAGTAACGATTTGGTACCTCTCAGTAACGGGGGCTTGGATTTGTTTTTTGTTGGAGTTAGAGCTGGTGAATGGACAAAGGCAAGGTTAGGACTACTTGGAGAAGAAGAAAGTGAGATGGTACTTAAGATTGCACCTTTTGTGAACAGCAATAGCCACCGGCAAAGGACATATACAAGTCATATCATGTACATAATCTAAGTGTTTTCTATTCTGAAGGTTTAATTTTTGAAGTTTATTTATATTGTTGTATTTTTTTTGAAAATCTATTGTTCTTTTAGTTTATTTCTATTGCTCTATTAGTTTATTAGTCTAGCCGGTGGAAGGTTTAATTTTGAAGTTAATTAGTTTTATTTGAAAATTTCTTCTAACTATCGTATTATGTTTGCAGCTCACCACGCTGCACTTGCGTGAGTATAGGTGAGAGTACACTTCACAAGACAAGTGAGCAGTTTTCATTCACACTACTCGTTGGAACGAAGAGTAACCTTAACAACCTCCCATGGGAATACATGGATGCCTGTGGATAGTGTTGTTCGTGGTGCTCCCGTGTTCAATATGAATGGTGAATGGGTTGGATTTTCTTTTTAGCGTATTGTTTTCTCAGTTGATATGAGACTTGGTATGAGAATACAGGCCTTTCAGCGGTGTTTGAATATGGCTGGCTGGCCAACCTTGGGAGGTAAACTGTTATTTGGCTATGTTATAGTTATATGTTGTTTCGTAGAAAATGTTTTTACTTACTATACCGTTGGACGATGCATGTTGCAATTCAACCCTATATTCAAAAAAATGCTGAACTTATTAGGATTCTCAAGTTAAAATATTTAAGAGATGGCAGGAATGGCAGGAATAGCAGTTTGTATTATAAATATTTTACCTTGAGGATCCTAATACCAATCGAAAACGACACTAAGTTCAGCATTTGTTTGAATATAGGGTTGAATTGCAAAACATTTTCTACGAAACAACGTACAACTATAACATAGTCAAATAATAGTTTATCTTCTAAGGTTGGCCAGCCAACCATGTATTCAAACACCGTTGAAAGGCCTGTATTCTCATGCCAAGTCTCATATCAACTGAAAAAACAGTACGCTAAAGAGGAAATCCAACCCATTCATATTGAACACGGGGGAGTACCATGAACAACACTATCTACATGCATCTATGTATTTTCATGGGGGTTGTTAGGGTTACTCTTCGTTTCAACAGGTAGTGTGAATGAAAACTGCTCACTTGTCTTGTGAAGTGTACTCCCACCTATACTCACGCAAGTGCAGTGTGGTGAGCTGCAAACATAATACGGTAGTTAGAAGAAATTTTCAAATAAAACTAATTGACTTCAAAATTAAATTTCCACCGGCTAGACTAATAAACTAATAGAACAATAAAATTAAACTAAAAGAACAATAGATTTTCAAAAAAAAAATACAACAATAGAAATAAACTTTAAAAATTAAACCTTCAGAGTAGAAAACACTTGGATTACGTACATGATATGTCTTGCCGGTGGCTATTGCTGTTCACACAAGGTACAATCTTAAGGACCATCTCACTTTCTTTTTCTCCAAGTAGGCCTAACCTTGTCTCTGTTCATTCACCGGCTCTAACTCTAACAAAAAAAAAACAAATCCAAGCCTCCGTTACTTAGAGGTACTAAATCGTTACTGTCCGCTTTGGTTCCATCAAAGAACGAAACAGTGATACTGTTGGTCCCCGGTCTTCTGCGCATAAAGATGGCACACCAACAACAATGACATCTGAGCTTATGTGGATGATGTATCCAGCACCAACTTGTACTTTATCTATCATTAGACCCACCACTGAACGGCGGGTTTCTTCGTATAGATCATTGAAATTTTCAGTTTCACCTGGAACCTAAATTTTTTAAAAAGGAAATCAATACATGACTAAAAGCAGGTGCATACCCGGAGGTCTGGAACGATTTATATCTTGCATGTGCATTTAGATTAGAAGTTAGAACTGCAAGGGAGGAATATGGTGGAAAAAAACCTCCAACACTTTGTTTCAGTTTTTATCTCAAAATGGGAATGGAATCGGGAAAGTCGGTTGGGAAAGCGAAATCTAAAGATATGATTTGGTGTGGCCACGGCGCGGCCTCAGGGTGGCCACGTCGCCGGCTTTTCGCGGCCGTTCGATCGGCCGCGCGGACGGCCCAGATCGGGCGAGCCGCGGTTGTTTTACGAAAAATCCCTTTAAGTTTTCAGAAATCAACCCGCGCTCCAGACGCCCTCTCAGAATTTTTTACAAAAAAACGCCTCGTCTTATTTCCAAATCAACGCTCAATCCAGACCGGATGGGCACTGGTTTGTTTGCAAAAAAGACCTCCACTTTATCGAAAATCAACTCGCGCTCCCTAGACACACTCGCCGTTTTTTTGCGAAAACATCCTCAGATTTTTCTCAAATCAAAATACAGCCCAACTTTGATTATATCTTTTTTTCCTCCAAAAAATACGTGTGGCCAGTGGACCGCGCGCATGGGCGCGCCCAAAAAACTAGTCAGATATATGGGATGTAGGAAATAAAATAATTCGATCGTGGACATGGGAATCGATGATTAAAATCAAAAACACAATGATAAAAATATTGACCTAGTTCTCTGAACCCATGTTGGAGAATAAGCCTGCATCTTTCTCATTCTATAAGGACAACGAACTGCATGCATAATAGAAAAAAAGTCTGAAGTAACAGTTTGACAAGACAAAGAAGTAAAACAGATCAGCTAGTGAATGCTTATATTTTAGATCAATTATTTGTTAAAGAAAAGAACTGAATGCAGGTTTCATAAAGAGAAAGAAGGAAAATCAATGAATGTGAAGAAGACAACGTAACTTCAACAAATTATTAGCAGCTGGCTAACACATGTCCCTGGTTTCGAAAATTGATGTGCTAAGTTACTGTTGTTGTAAGAAAATATTTTTTTATAACATATAGAGTACTTTTCTATGAATAAACGCTCTCCATTCTTTGCCAAGCTAGAAGGCTAAGCCTGTTCGGGAGGCCGTATCGTATCGTGGATTATTTACTGCTGGCTGGTTTGGTGTAAGAGAAAAGCACTGTTCCCGACTAGAAATTTACGATCGTTTACGAGCAAGCGAACATGCCGATGAAATCAAAATATAGTATTGGTCAAAAAAAAAATGTTCAGTAACATAAAAAAATGGAAACAGAGAATCTGAATCTGTTTCTATACCTTTAACTGTTTCTTTTCATTTGCTCAGCTCAATCTGCTATCTGCTATGGATACAAAATCATAGTATCGGATTGTATTCTAATAACCTGTTCTCTATGCGGCAGTAATTTTCAATCATGAAAATTAAATTGGAACTTGCATGTTCTCAGTCCAGGTGCTATTTTACTAAAGATTGTTATTTTAGTTAGCAAAGAAGTCTTTCTATTAATTATTATTCAATAAAACAGGTAAAGTGCCAAATATTAATAACAAGGATAATAGGCCTACTACTGCCAACATACTTCTTCCATAGGCGGCCGGGTACTGGGCAAAAACAGGGGAGGGCTCGTTCGTTTAGCCCTCATTCCCGATGAATTCATTCTAGATGATAAAAAATAGTATAAATTTACACAATAATCATTCCAGGCCTCCGTTTCCGTGAGAAACGAACAGGGCCTAAAGTAAGACAAATCACCGGCCGATGTACCCAGAACAAATACCAAGTGCGGGGATCACAAGACTAAGACAAGGCGAAAGAAGAGACAAAACTAAAATAAGGATGCATGCATGCCCTAAAATCACAAGACCTCGCGGGTTCGATGGGGCGAGAGAGTAATTACCAAAGGCATTGCCGGTCGTTGGTGAAGCGGCGGCGGCGGCGGCCGGAGGGGGAGCAGCCGTGCGTGACGAACCGAGCGAAGGTAGAAATGGCGACGAGCCGACGAGGTAGGGCGCCGCGGCGGATAGGGGGGAACTTTCGTATGGAATGCCGGGGTTCAGCAGATTGATCATCTGCAGGGAATGAAATCCTCTGCACTGTGGGGTGACGCCGTAACGGGGGCAGTGAAGTGGAGCCGGGCCGTGGAGGGGAGCGACCGAGGTGAACTCATCAGTCATCCACAACCAGCTACAGCGTGCACGGGATGGATGCTAATTAGGCCCAATCCGGCCTTGTCACGAGTCACGACACTATTCTAAATATAATGTCGATTATTTTTTGGTAAAAAATGTGATCTTCTATTTTTCCATGGGATACTGGCGCTATAAACATTTTTTTTGTTTGCTTCCACTCCATCAATAAAGCGCTCACACAAAGTGTAAACCAACTTTGAGGAAAATAATGCAATGTCTTTTCCTTGAACAGTAATCCCACTATTAAAAATCAATAAATCAGCCAAGTAATCCCACTATTAAAAATCAATAAAGCAGCCATGGGATACTTAGAACAGCTGCATCGTATAAGTTTTCTAGAAATTCTAAGCAAGACACGTCAGCTGGTACTGCTATGGATAAATTTCCTCCAGCGTATGAACTGTTGGATTTAATATTGCTGTACGTACGTAAGTTGGTACTCATTTATATTTTTTAGCATTCCTCCAAAAGAAAAATTATTTTTTACTGACATACTATTTTTTTATAGAAACCCGTAAAGTAGGAAGATTTCAAGGATAATAATGTTTCCAGTTCTTTAAAATTTAAATTGTTACTACTAAACAAAGGGACGTTAGCATTTGGCAAAATGTGGAAAATAATTTTTGTTCCTTCTTCAGCGTAAGAACAAATGGCCAAGTTATTGTAAAATTGCAAGATAGAATAAGTAAAGATATATTATATGGAATATATCTTGTAGTTTTTTTCATTTATTCACATCCACAGGGCAGAAGAAACAAAAATCTACAGTTCACTTACAATTGTAGACTATGATATATACAAACACTGGTTGTAGCTGAGTAGAATACATTCATGATTCAGTTTCTGCACGACGGCCGAGGAAGCAAATGCAAGTAACCAGCAGCAACAACCAATCTCAACGATTAGACAACCTTTGAGCTTAATGCGACAAAGCTCTCAGTTCAAACATTGCTGAGACATGATCTCCGCTACATGTTGAAGATAAATGCATTTTCCAGCATAAATAAACATACACAGTACCGAGAAACACAAATTCAGTCAGTAATCGCTCGCTAATAATGGCTGAGAAAAAGGAAGCACATATATAAGATGGAGACATCATTCTGAAAACACAAAGGGTACCATTTCAAACTCATAACTGACAACATGGATGTGTTGGGCAGCTCGAACTAGTTGATGGCTTTATGCATTAACTAAAATAACTAGCATATGTGTTGACATCTGCAAAACCAAATAAATGAATTTTGATCTAATAAAATTAATTTGATGTGATAGATGTTGATCCATTCTTCTATAAACTTGGTCAATATTAGACTAGTTTGAGATAGAACACAACTAATACAACCTACATTAGGAACAGAGGGAGTACTAGTGAAAAAAGCAGCAGCTGTAGTTCTAAACATTGTGATGGATCAAGGAC